TAACGGTATCGATATTCAAAATACTATTTTCCTGCTGATAATAATTAAAACATCACCATTCATCGGCTCAGTGTCGTTCTCTGGCAATGATAATTATAATCATCCTCACTATTATTATCATCATGATAATGAGTTCTCTGAATGACATTCAGAAGTGATGAAACATTTTTGGATATCAACTAACGAGGGAAGAAAGGGGGCGGTGGGACAGCTTAGTGGTTAAAGCATTCGCTTTTCAGGCCTAAGACCCGGGTTCGATTCCCCACATTGGTAAATTATGTGAAACCCATTTCTGGTGTTCTCCGCCGTGGTATTGCTGGCATATTGGTGGAACTAAACTCACTCAGGGCGAAGGAGTATGAATTTAACTCAGAAACGTTGTGTTTAACACATATAGCAGCTGATAGCCCCCAAAACATCTGTGATCATATTTATGCTTGTCGTAAATTTCAGGAAACAGTATAACATACAATGATCCAAAACATACAGTGATCCAAAACATACAGTGATCCAAAACATACAGTGATCCAAAACATACAGTGATCCATAATATACAGTGATCATCATAGTTAACATCACCTAAGGAGCCACAAATCGCTGTACAGACTTCCTTCTACTGGGTTCGGATCCCACATTCTCCGTAATTATGATTCTTGGTTGGACAGCACCAAGCCTGTTCATGTGGTGTGTAAACATCTGACCTGTGTTACTTCGGTCTCTCCTCCTACATTAAACGTACCTGGCGTGTAAATCTCTGCTTAAATCAGAGTCGACCGTAAGATTCGGACTATCTGAGAAACGTGTGTTCTATACATATCAAATTGTGTTGATTTAAGGTGTTATCTAAAACGTGGGAATTCTCCACTGGTGCCACACGTCACAGACAGTCCAGTCTTTGTTCGGAGCGGCGTTAACCACTACTCACCCCCCTCATCGCCATCATACTCATGGACACGTTATGCTTCTCATCCACATCCACATCCACATCCATCCACATCCACATCCACATAAACATCCACATCATAACGATCATTCAGCTCTGTTAAGTTTATTTACTTCGTGTAGTTTTTGTATATTCGGAGAAACAAATTAATATGAACATTTTTCATCGTCAAAAGTAGTTAAGCAAAAATTCATCTTTGAATGCAAATGCACATTAACCAAATATGCACATTATCGTGAGATACTGCCTAGGGGTCTTCAGTCAGTATTCCCGACATGCTAAGTATATTAGGCATGGGTAGGCCTCCGGGCGGCGGCACTGTCACTGCTTTACCACGTTACCGTGTGCGACGTCAACTACTCCGTGAACACAGGGGTCATGACGTGGTAATTGGGTAAATCAGTGGACAAAACGCCAGCTGATTCCTACAGACCCCCCTTCCCCAACTCACACTCCCCCCACTCCTCAACCCCTTTGTCTCCAAACAAATGTGACTGGGAAACGTGACAACGAAGGCAGGCATATCAGTGTTACGCCTCCGCATCTCTTCGCGACCAAGGTGTATAAGTGTTCATATCTGGTAAAAAATGTCTTGTTTATTTATTTACTTATGTATACTGAAACTGATAAATCTGTCACAATGAGTGAGCTTAATTGTCATTTCACAGCAGTAGGCAACAAGGCTTATAGTTCATGATCTATACATGCCAGTATACATGTAATTAGAACTTCGGATAGTCGAGACTGGTGGATTTCTGGATATTGCATCACAATGGCAATAGATGAGTGTTTTACACAAATGAATAAATAAATAGATGAGAAAAGTAATACATCAAACGAACAAGAAATATAGGTCCTAGTTACACTAACTCAGTCTCTGTCGTCATATGAGCGAAATATTCTCAAGCACGAAGTAAAACCCAATTTCACCTGACCTCACCTCAGTCTCTACGTCAGTTTGTATTATGCTTCCGTCGCCGTAAAACGTGACCGTTTGAACATTTGACATGTCCATTTGTATATAAAGAATAGGCTACAAACATATTTCTGTTTATAATAAAAATGTGTTCAGTATTTACAAACAGTGCTGAAACAGGGGGTCCATTGGAAATGCGACACAGCTGAATATATTTCGACATCACTTAATATATATATATTTCCATAATATAATGGCCATTAATACATATTGTTTTCAAACTGAAACACTCTTATGGAAACTGAGAAATCGATTGACTAATGGTTTGAATGAACCCTGGTGATGGGTCTGTTCAGCTTCAATGGCTTATTGACATATGAGTCAATACCCGCAAACACCGGCGCGATATACAGGTTAGTGACACATCTATCAAAACAGAGACAGTCATGTGTAAATATTTCCGAAAAATACATAAAGAATTGGGATTTATAAAATAGAGAAGGTGTGGTGGTTAAGTGATTTTGACAGCATTTGTATTAATTAATTTCTACTGGCTGTTGTTACAGTTATATTTCCACTGGACTCATCTTTACTAATGGAAACAAGGTCCTACCGTGGTTCTGTTTCAAAGTGCTGTAACACATGTACATCTTGACAGAGAGCATCCACGTCGTTAATGAGCCTAGGTAATACCGCAAAAGGAGAGAAGCCATGTGTTATTTATCACCCGTCAGTTCGTATATCATTTGCGGATCCTGGCACCGTAAAGGTACGCAACTCTTCACACATAATTTAGCCAATAATCATAGCTGGATCATGTACGTGAAACCGATGACAGAACAGAACAGTTACTCTCATGAACAAATTTCATTATAAAAGAAAAAACCATGCTTCTTTTTGACCAGTCGCTGTGGGTGATAAAATGGAGCTACATAGCGTGTAGTGTGACGAAACGTTTTAGGTTCCCGACTATGACAGAAATTACAACATTATGTTCAAATAATCCTGAAAAGACAAATGTTTAAAATTAATGTAGTTTTTTTTGTTATATTTTACTCTCCTCGTATATATGACTGAGTAAATGAAAGTATATACTTGGATTTGACTAATAAGTGACAAACGTTATCAGACAAATACTAAACTTAAACAGTCGCCAATACGCTGCAGATTTAAGGAATGAAACAAATCTATGATACCCCATGAAATATCGCCACCAACAATAATGGGGGTATACTTCCTGTCGCCCGCCAGTTTGTATAGTGCATGAATGTGTAATCAGTTAAAAATACCCTGAAGAGGGTCACTGGAGCTGAAATAATCTTCAACTTCGAGTGTTTCTGTTTATTCGTGTAAACATTTTTTCAGCAAAAATAGTTTTCGTTATTTAATTTCACTCAATGCAGTTTGTTATGATCCTTCTAAATGAATTATTAACTGTCAGAGCAGTTACATTCCTCGATATAACGCCATAGCACCGGCCTCACAGACTCCACACCGTGGTGGTAAACCGACACACCACTTATCTCGAACTACACATAACTCGATGTATTTTCGATAATCCCCTGGTCTTAGAATTACCAGGGTTTTTCTGTACATTTTATAAAATCCTGGAGTCTAAATCGTATTATTGTTATTTCTTCTAGGGTGTATTTATCGCCTAATGACAGCTATGTCGAACAAGCTGGTGAGGGCGATACAATCTGTACATTGTAACAAACACTATAAGTGGATAGCATTCTCGTCTCGACTGCTACGGATGACAGAAGAAAAACATCTCCAGGCAACCTCGGCGCCTGGTGTTGAGACGATCGCAGGTAAATTTATACATATCTTAATCGAAATCAGAGTTGGGGACATGTGGACACAAAACAAAGGGGTATATCCAGCTTGAGATCCCTCTCAGAGGCAGTGTAACAAACAAAAGAGGCTTGGTGAAAAGAGGTCCGTTCCTCCAGGTGGCGTTTCCCCCTCAAAGTTATCATAATTTCCACCGGACTTGTCGTCTTGTCCCCAGTCCTCAAGATGACAGTGTGAGTAACTCTTAAAGAACTTGAAGTCTCCCTACCATGGCAAACAGACTGGCGGTAATTAACCCACGCAGGACAAAATAGAAGTTTTGCTTCCGTAACAAAACCGCACCAGGGTGGGAAGCTGAAGAGCTAATCAAAGCACAACGCTGCTTCACAGTGAGACCTGCGACAAACCTGCTACGATGAGATATCTCCCCCCAGCCCTCATCCTGTTCACGAGTCCCCAACCCCATATCCCTGTCGACTCTATCTCCCACCCCTCCCATGCTACCTCCAGACCCTCCAACCCGACCCCCTACAGGCTGACATCTCAGAAGCTGAATCCCCACCTCTGCTGTCTACTAGCTCTCACCTCCCCCACCCTTCATCGTGTTCCTCAACTCTTCCACCCCCTCCCAGTGCGCGCTCTCATCCCCCCCCTCCACCCTCCTTCTGGGACTCCCTACCCCACTCAGCACGATCTCCTGGGTCTAGATCTGACACAATCATCAAACAGTATTGTTCTGTTGTACAACTCGGGATGCGCAACCAATTGTGTCCTGACAATAGCCTAGCAGTTTGCAAATACAAGAGGTGGCAGCAACTAATTACTAATAACTACTGATTTATTAATTACGAAACATCGCAACGGTTGTTCTGCATGGTATCAATACACACACAGGAGAAAACTGTTGGAAATAGAGGGTGGCGATCTCAAGGGGCACAAATCCGGCGCTGACACATCGATGGAGCAACCAAACTGCTAGTTCAAGAAAAATCCAGACCTAACACCTTGGATCCCAATGTCCGAGCTAGGTGGTTACAGCTTACCCGTATCATCGTCACATCACAACAGATTTATCCAGATTTTCTCGGCTAACTGCGCCGTGAAAGAGATGTCGTCTGCTCGGGAGCTCATTATAATATTGTTCTGCATCATCGACCAATGAGAGCGCAGCTCGTGCTGATAGGCCCTCCCAGCGCTGGCGCATATGAATATCAATTAGGGGGCGGTGCGTAGCCGGCAAATGTGGGGAAACTGACGAGCCAAATTATTTAACGCTTTCATGAAGTTTATAAGCAGTGTACTAACATTGGGAAAACGTTAGAAGCAGTAAGCGATCGTGTGGGACCAAGACGTCCACCATCATGTGCAACACCAACCCAAGCACGCTGCTGCCGTACGGCTTGAAGATACCTACCCCGACTCCATATTTTCCGTTTTCTCCGACCGGGGTCACCCATCTGCCTGGCCTGGACTTCCAAAGATCTCAGCTGTGTGATTATGGTGCCCGACTTCAGTATGGATTCCGAGGATATCCGTCTCCTCTAGGACTCAGTCCATACCACGGCCATCTCGCTGACCCGTATACCCAAGCATACCTGTACAAACACGACCTACGAGCAAGGTACATCCAAGAAGAACCGAAGCCCAGTCATAGTTACATCGGACTCATCGCTATGGCGATCCTCAGCCACAAAGACAAGAAACTCGTGCTTAGTGACATTTATCAGTGGATTCTGGATAATTACGCTTATTTTCGGACCCGTGGACCAGGTTGGAGAAACAGTATACGACATAACCTGTCACTAAATGACTGCTTTATCAAATCAGGCCGCAGTGCTAATGGCAAAGGACATTATTGGGCCGTCCATCCGGCCAACGTTGACGATTTCCAAAGAGGAGATTTCAGAAGGAGACGTGCTCAACGGAAAGTCCGTAAACACATGGGCCTGGCCGTCCCCGATGACGAGGACAGTCCCAGTCCGTCCCCAACCCCACAGGCAACTTGGGACGAGAAGGAGGAGGACACGGAGGGGGGACCCAAGTCGCCTGTTCAAGATATGAGAGACGGAAGTTTTGAGGTAGAGGAGGGTACCGAGAGACCTCAGGTCCCACCCGTCCCAATAGTTGTCCAGCCTGTGAAGAAAAGACTGTTTGATGTCGAAAGTCTCCTCGCCCCCGAAATCAAACCTGTACCCCACCCTCCAGTATTTCCCAAACCCGTGCACCACCCTAACCACGAGAGTGACGCTCATATAGACATTGTTTCTGATGGAGAAGCGCTGGACATCTGTAATACTGATAGCGAGGACCAAGGTGTTGGGGAGAGCTGTGATGGGGCGACTAGTTTACGTCGTGAGACGTCTTCAGCCCCGGCGACATCGACTAGTCCCCCTCCATCCCCATGTCGCAGTATAGAGGAGTCAGACAAAACCCCTAGTCCAGATTCTGTAGCAAAGCGACCCGAAGGACTCCCATGGCCTATGTCAACCTTAGGGCGTTCCCGTCAGAGCGCGTTCCATGCCACATCGGCCGCGGGGTGGGATACCTACACTACTTACATCTACCCCATGTTCAGCTCCACGTACCCGGTGGTCCTACCCGGATCATCCCTCACCCCCGAGGCCGCGAGTAAGTGGAGGGAGGCGGTGTATGGCCTGGGATCAGCCCCGGCTGGGAAGACCCCGGAGGTGGACAGGCGATAGACAACAGCATAATAAACTGGTGATGGCAGACTGCGAAGAGACAGGATGATCGTCTTCAGATCGGCTCGAGTTTCTCTCAGATTAGAGATGAGAAGACGTGTGGTCCGAACAGACCGTCCCGCGTGCTGGGACGGCACAACAGTTGATGTGACTCACAGATTCTTTATCAAATAAAAACTGTAATATTCGTGAGAAAATATTTGGACGGACATCATCTGTCTCTGGAGAAAAATCCAAATGTTTTCGCCAAAGTTATTAACATTAGAACATCGCAAAATACTGAACCAGCCCATAGTGCATATGTAAACGAACTTCCTGGGATCTCCCACAGAGAAAGTGCTATGTTTATGGTTGAAGAACTCAACGTCAGTTATGCCAACATGTTATCAATGAGATAAAATCTTCCAGACTTTATCCAGCAACCCGAACGCCTCAAAAACTGATGCCAAAGACATATTGTGCAATGACCATCAATTATCAGCATCTATATAGAGAAGTGGCCAGTATTCTGGTGGTGACTGTAGACCCAAGCGTTGTGGTGGTAGAACACGCACTCTGTTTCTAGGACAGTGACAGGTAGGGGTATTGTTTCTGTTAACTATAGAAGCAGACATTATGTACAATCCAAACTGTTGTAATATACTTGTTTTATTTCAAATGAAAATCAAAGAACGGGTGTTTTGTTCGTCATGAAACTGAACAATGAAAATAAATAATAATGTAAGTGTATGTTTTTACTTTGTCCTTTTTTATATTTAATATGTTGATTGTGGCCTTTAAGTTCTGGATACATATCTACGCAAGTTGAATTTGGAGTTGAATTGCATATGCTCAAAGTTCCATAATCTTGCTCTGTTGCTAATATTTATAAATATTTCATATTGCAGATCTATAAGTGCATTTACCTTCAGTAAACAGTGTCACATTGTTCATGTATAGCATTACAAATTTATAATTCATAATTCATGTTATGACATTTCTTCAAGATGTTTTCAAAATTGTCTCAATAGATTTTTACATTTATTAGAATCGAATTCTGGCATTAACTTTCATTGACTCATCGTTAGTTATTGACTGTGTCAGGTGCCATTGGTTTATCTTCTACTTCGAGGACGCCAACAGTTTTAGGTAATGTCAGTTACTAAACACCGAAAAACAAACACACACACACACACACACACACACACACACACACACACACACACACACACACACACACACACACACACACACACTCACTCACACACGTCTGAACTGACCACCTGATCTAAATATGAGGTACTTTTCATACCCTTATTTTGGTTGAATAGTGTTTAAATTGATGTGTGGTTATTAACCAATCTGAATCGTCGGATTTGTGAGGAATCAATACATTGGAATATTTATATCGTGTGTACAAAATACCCAACGCATTAAATAAGACCTTTTCTATCTAAACAATTATCTTCATAATACTGGTAATTTTGTCTTAACAATTCCGCTATCCAGAAGCCTATCTTACTGACACGAAATGTGAAAAAATAGCAGTTCAAAATAGTGACACCTCTGATGTTTCGAATTTGTTGAGCTATAAAATTAAATTAAATATTAAATTTATATCCCTAAATTTCATAATTGTGTTTGTCAATTCTAATTATTCAGAGATATTATAGATATACAAATGCACTATTTGATTATTTAACAACAATAATATAGCTTCTAGGAAGCAGGCATCCATTACCAACATAACTATGTAGTTAACACTGTATGGAAATGAAATCCTACCATATTTGTGTCACATCGAACATTTTACACGTTTTAATTTAATTGTAAAAATGTACAAATGATTTAAAAATACATTCACACCTTCCACAAGAAGAGACAGTATTTTATTATTCATTGTGTCAATCTAAATTTTTGTTTCGCTGGAAGACACATCTCTAAATCACGAATGCCTAGTATTAGACAGGCGGGTTTTTACATTGTCACTGCTGTCGTTTGTAATTATTGCCAAACTTTATAATGTCTCATAAAAGGAGAAATTAATCAGGGCATTTAGAACATCTGTACTGTAGGGACCTTATACATTACACGTTTCTAATTGACCAAATCAGGCTTCAGGAATTGTGAACGCCAAGCTTTTACTTTCTCTAATGACATCATCAAATTGTTTCCAGAGAAATTTAATTCCAACGACCCTTCACTCATTTGGTGAGGCGTATAGAATAACATATACAAGTATTCAAACAAAGACACTTTCACCTATTTTAGCTATAGGTTTTAGCAATATATATAAGAAATACATATCAATAAAAATATACACTCTCAGCTACATGTACATTCACAACATTTATCATAAAGTCAATTGACATAGTGTGTAACAAAATATGAAATTTCACTGAACGTGAATTGTTTATTAAATTAACTCACCGAGAGATCGTTTAACATATTGCAGCATATCCAGGAAAGGAGATTCCGTTAATTATTACTAATCCTTAATCAGCTTAAACAATAATTTTTCATAGCACTGTTGTTTAGTGACTTGAAATTCGTTCTGCAGTCGGTTTAAATGTTTAAATCGGTTTAAATGTATACTTATTTTAAAATGATAGAAAATTGAAGACAAATATTTCTAGCACTGCAGCGGCGTACAGGGTGACACGTTTTACGCGTGTATCAATATTTGCTGGCTTCATCATGTCATCAAGCTCCACCTGCTTCTCCTCAGCATACATAGGCTATGCCGAATTCACCACAGCCTCAAGTTTTGCACTACACGATAGCTAAGTCGGTTATTTCGTTCCCTTATAAACGTTTTTTCTTTAAGTTTACCAATCTTGTTCCTTTTCTGGACGTCTCCATGTCTAACGAAGGAAAAATATTGATAGATTAAATTTTTTCAGTTAGCTATATCAAATAGGTCTCTCAATAAAATATCAACTATTTATAACTACACTTTTACAGCGTTATTTTCTACTTGGAAATTGTTTACAACGACAATAGGACCAGTGTGATTTGACATGTCATTTGTATAGATATATATATATATTGAATTAAAAAAATGGTTCTGTCAAAGCATAAACTTTCACTTCTTATTCATTCCCCTTAAGACATAATTTTTGCAAATTTCGTTTTGTTCAATTTAGGCATGTATTATCATGCTTGCAGTCAGACAGTCGCTTCAACCAATAACAAAACGGTACAATTAACGTTATTGGCCTTTGTAAGAATGAGTCATAATGATTGAACTGTGATAAAAACTAACAATTGAATAATGAAATTAATCATACTACATGATAATACACGTAGAGAAATATATCTTCGAAACATTAGTTGTAAATGTGATTATGTTAGGGTTTCTTTCTAGCGAAATTTCGTCCTTCTAACTTGCCGTCTTACTGGTTATTTTTTATGGAGATGAATAGTTCTGAATCAACATTTTCACTTCATTTGGGATTTGCTTGCGTGTGAACAGTACGCACTTTAAATACAACATACCCAGTTCGACACAAAAGCTTTCTGTTTAGCAGTGAATATTTCATGCATTTGCAATCGACATTGACGAAGATTGACAGATGTCAGACAGACACTTGAAACGTGTGGAAGTTCGGCTAATATTGTACGTCCGGGTTAACAGTGTTTTAATACAGTAAATAGGAAGATCGCGTTAGTTTTATAAGTGTCTTACTCAGGTAATAGTTCATATCTTTTTTAAAACAAATATTAAATTGTTTGGAATATATGACAGCTTGGTTATTTTTAACGCCGATAGAATGACTTTTTTTGATAAAATCCGCCTACTAAAGACACATTCAAGCAGCCCTGTAATCTGCAAGAAGCACATCTTACCAAGTTTTGAAGTTTGCTTTAAATCAATCAGTCATAAGATCATTTTGCTCTGTTAAAATATTTTTGTCAAATAACGCGATCTTCAAAAAAGTATTCTAGACGGAATATAATTATTTTCACGACTATAACATTCGAATATTATTCTGCCAGTCGTATTTTTTGCACCTCAGCTTCAGCGTTAGTGTTGTGTTTATTTCTAATTGATGAACAAAAATACATGTTGGAAAATATATGACATAATTTCAGAATATAGCTTTTGTGGCTGAGAGAAAAAATTATTTAGGAGAAAAATAATACAGCAAAGTATTATTGACCTTCCTAAAATGCTCATATTTCTAGTTGCTAAGTGTTTCCAGTTATTTTTCACAAGATAACGAACAGTCAGACTCAGTTTACCTAGCCAACATTATTAAGACCTCAATTAATTTGCATTCATCACTTCCATGTTTTATGTTTTCACATTTTTCATATTCGTTTATCTGTTGTCGGTAAGAGCACACATCGTGTCAGCTGTATATGGAATGGTTTGGCACACGTTCGATGTAGTACTCCTTCTATTCATTCCAGTTTAAATATTATACATGAGTTGCTAGGAAGTGTGTGGGCATTTCTTGCTCCTACTCAAAGAACCATTCACTTCCACTGCCAACAATCAATGGGTCGTGCTATAACTAACCACAAGATAGATTAGAAGTAGTGTTCGATCAGCTATACTGCTTACGTTATCAACCTGAAAATATACACTCAGTGCTGTTACCACAAGAACCCGAGTCGAGTTTTAGATAACCACATTTTACATATAATCATCAAAAATCGCTTTTTTCAGTTTGCAGAATTACAGTTAAACTCAATGTGTAGAAATTGTACAAATACAGTAAAACACAACATTTGGAGAACTGTTATGGTAATAATGCGAGCTAAATATCCCCTTTCCCATTCTGAATAGCGTGTTCTGTAACGTCGTTTGATGTTTCTGTGGTCGTCGAACCCATGCATTCGCCAAAACCAATCATTAATTGATCACGTCAATCAAAATATCAAATGAAGCTTCACATTTGAAATTTATCCTTTATGAGATGGCAAAAAGTACACAAAACTACAGATTAAAGCAAGATTTTCCTTAATGTTGTTATCTAAATTTGTGGTATAAGTAGGGTAATTTCAACTTCACTCCAACACAAATTGGTTTATGGTGTTTGCTATTTTTCATCCCCTTCCAAGGTTTCGATCTATAACAAGTACTTTTGTGTTTTTTCAAAGCCCAAACATCAGCCATGATAACGATAATTTTCAAATCAACGCATCATCACTTTTTCGATTTCCTTTGGTGTTGGCATATGGAAAGGCCTGATCGATGAGCGGGATGAACCGAGGGGATGACTGGCTGCGGAGGAGGAGGGGAAGGAGGAGGACTATACGCTCTCAACCATTGTGGCCGACCAATGGAGTCGTTATGTTTCTCACAGCCGATACCAGTTTTTCTCACGTGTACTCGTATAGGTTGTAATTGGCGTTTCCGAATGATTCTTATTTTCATTCTCATGACGATTCTGCAGTTATGAGTAGTTATGTGCTGGGCTTAAGTGCATGTATGCTCCTGTAACGAGTATTTTCCGTTTGTGATTCTAATTATTATTATTTATATTTTTGTTTTTGGGTGGGTAGGGGTGGGGGATATGAGAGCAATTATAATGTTATAATTATTTTGATACGGCATTGTGATCTCTTTCATGGGGATGTTGGTTGTAACGTTTATTTTAGGCACAGTATTGTTTTGGTTGAAAGGAGTTGTAAGAACGCCATCACAGTTATGACAGTGATATTTTGGCTGTAATTACTTCAATATATTATTATTTATATTGAAAGGAACTTTAAGGGTGTGATTGCAATTATGACATCGA